GAAGCCTCCTCGTCTCGCCGATCTCCCGATTCCCATGGAGGCGGCTCCCTTCTTCAAGGTCCTGCACATCTCCGATACCCACTATGATCCCCACTATGCGGAGGGTTCCAATGCGGATTGCAATGAGCCACTCTGCTGTCGACTGAGCAGCGGTCGCCCTGCCACCCCGAATGCAGCGGCTGGAAAGTGGGGGGACTACCGGAAGTGTGACACCCCCAAGAGGACGGTGGATCACATGCTCTCGCACATCGCGGAGACGCACAAGGACATCGACTACATCCTGTGGACGGGCGATCTGCCGCCGCATGACGTGTGGAACCAGACGAAGGAGGAGAACCTGGCCATTATCAAGGACACCGTGAAGCAGATGGTGGAAATGTTTCCGGGCATTCCCATCTTTCCGGCTCTGGGCAACCACGAAAGTGCCCCGGTGAACAGCTTTCCCCCGCCCTACGTGAATCAGGTGGATATATCCATTAGCTGGCTGTACGACGAACTGGATGTCCAGTGGCGGCGGTGGTTGCCCCAAAGTGTGACCCACACGGTGCGACGGGGAGCCTTCTACTCGGTGCTGGTTCGCCCCGGTTTCAGGATCATCTCGCTGAACATGAACTACTGCAACAACAAGAACTGGTGGCTGCTACTCAATTCCACAGATCCAGCTACAGAACTTCAGTGGTAAGTAAGGCCTTAAAAGGGATATAATAATATATTTAACATTTATTTTTCCTTTAAAGGTTCATCTACGAGCTTCAGAGTGCCGAGTTCTCCAACGAAAAGGTGCACGTCATAGGCCATATACCACCGGGACATTCCGACTGCCTGAAAGTCTGGTCGCGCAACTTTTACAAGATCATCTCGCGTTACGAGAGCACAGTGACCGCCCAGTTCTATGGACACACGCACTACGATGAGTTTGAGATGTTCTACGATCCTCATGATCTAAGTAATAACTTTCAAAATAAAATCTATTAGCAAACCTACTAATCAAATGATATTTCTTAGATCATCCCAATGGCATTGCGTACATAGGACCCTCTGTTTCGCCCTACTACGATCTGAATCCCGGCTATCGGATCTACTACGTGGACGGTGATCATGATGCGACTACGCGACTGGTCATCGACCATGAGTCCTGGATAATGAATCTCAAGGAGGCCAATCTGTATGGCTACCCCATTTGGTATAAGCTCTATACGGCACGAGCAGCCTACAACATGAAGGCCCTGCGTCCCAGCGATTGGAACAATCTGCTCAACGAGCTGACCAACAATCAGGAGCTTTTCGAGCTGTACTACAAGTGGGTTATGGTAGCTACTGCATGTTATTTTATATTTAATGGGTTACTTCTATCCAGATATTACTGGAAAAACTCGCCGGCGCGTCCCACCTGCGATGCCGAGTGCAAAAAGCGACTCATCTGCGACTGCCGCAGTGGGCGATCCCACGATCGAAAGCACTTTTGTGCCGAGGTCGAGTCCAAGATCGACGAGGAGTCGTCCAAGTCCTGGAAGTCCTGGTTCTACAAGGGATTGACCAACTCGTAAGCACTGTCTAGTTTAGCTGCGTGTTTTTCTGGTGTCGGTTGCTATAACTAATTACTAATCGAATTCAACTTGTAACCGTAATTAATACCTTGCTTTTAGTCACTTGTTTGTCTGCCATTACGCATTTTCATTTGTTTTAATTTTTACCCGATAATAACGAGCACATTTTATTTTCCGCCCTGGTGTGGTTCATGCAACAACTAAAATCGAATAACTAATGATCGAACAGCGCTGAGGATCGAACAGAAGAGCCGGTGACAAGCGCCGATGGTTATGGCCCTCTCGATGTGGTGATTGTTAACGTTGGTGGTTAAGGCCTGTACATATTTTTGGTGGCAAGATTCTGTAGTTTCCATGACAATAAATTACCCAAATGACCCCCGAAAACTCTTTATTATACCGTAAAGCTATAGCCTGCTGTCCTCCATCACCTACCTGCCCAAATACCTGCTGGGATATCGCTGATATATCCCCATATGATCTGGATCAACATCAGAATCAACTGCAAGTCAATGCAATCGCAACGAAGAAGAAGAATCGCCTACCCCATAAGTTTACTATGTGATAACTAGTGCTTAAATCCCATTTAACTAAGTTTACTTTAAATGCAACGATGCCGCAAAACGGTCCGCCCCCAAAAATACAAAACGCCGACTTTGAAACCTTAGAAGCGCCCCTCGGAAAATGAGTCAGTGAACAATAGTCATTTAACTGTAATCGAGTCGTTGTTGTTGTTGCCCCTTGCTGCCGCATTTCGGGGCGTGGCAAATGCGCCCCTCTACGTAACGGAAATTGTTGAACAAATTACCTTTAGACACCTAATTGTAATGCTAATCTAGGGCTTAACTTAAATAAAGTGCAATTATTTTTATAAAACAATATAATTGATTTTTCTGGGTTGAATTTTTTTTAGTAAAACATTGTTTTACCATAAAATTTAAATTTAAATTCAAATTTATCAGTGCTGTATAACATTGTCTAGCCTCGTTTACCAACACAGTTTTTAACTGTGGCTTAACAGGGCATAACTATGTTATGCTGCATAACAGTTATCGATAACATGTTAAGGTTTACTGTGACTGGTACAATGTTAAAAATATGGCGGGGGATTCAAAAATTGATTACTTGATAAGAGATATCTGTAATGGCTAAAATGGCTAATTTGCGTAGAAACAGACAGACGGACAGATGGACAGACGGACGGACAGACGGACATGGCTAGATCGACTCGTCTTGTGATGCTGATCAAGAATATATATACTTTATGGGGTCGGAAACGTCTCCTTCACTGCGTTGCAAACTTCTGACTGAAATCATAATACCGTCTGCAAGGGTATAAAAAATTAAGCAAAGTTAAATAGGACAAATACTTTTCTATCAAATGCATAATCTGAAATGATAGCTTCGAATAGTGTTTTGATTATAATTCAATGTGTAATTATAATATTGACATTTAGAAAAGGAAATTAGTTTCAATCAAAACTTGCAAACAACAATCACTTTGTTGCGACCTTAGATAATGATACTCAATACATAAACTAATTTCTGTTTAATAATTAAAACCTTATCAACAAGTGCAAAATACCCCACACAAATTCCCAAATAAGGGCGACTACCTGTTCGCAATGCATTTTCCCCTTTGAACTTTGAACTCCTTCCCCGCAGGATAAACAGACGCTAGTCCTTTGAGCAAACTCCGGGACCCCAAAGGACAAAAGGGGGTGGAAGGGGCATCGGTGGGCACATTCTAGTCGTTGTCAATACGCCCCGTTGGCCGTTCCCTTCGCCTTGAGCTTGTTGAGCGGCCGTGCGTGTTTTCCTTCATTGGTGATAAGACACGCAGCGCGACGTGTGTGTGTGTGGGAGTGGGTATATCCTGGCTGCCAGTCATTATCCCTTTGTCACACACACACCCGCACGTTTTCCCACACTCACCCACACCCAGGCACACACAGACACACACACACACATGCAGCATCGGGCGGGCAAAACAATTCCGTTTACATTTCCCACATCCACCCACAAATCCACCCAAATGGCGTGTGCCGCCTTTCCTTTTTTCCCGATTTCCCTCGTGTTTTTGTTGCTTTGCATACTTTTAGGGGACGCTGCCGCTGGGAAACCGCACATGTGTGTGTGCCGCAAACAAACAAACAAACAAACGAAAAGACAAACAAACAGAGGGCCCAAAACAGCGAAAAGTACAACAATGCAATGCGTGCAAATTTTTAGAAAAATATACAAACAAAGGGGGGTGGGGGGAAGTGGGGGCATGGGGCATTATCTCATGTGGCACATACATTCGCTGGATTCTCGATGCGGCGCTTAAATGCCGCTTAACATATTTGATTTTTCTTCTTTTCCCCATTTTTTCCCCACATTCCTCGTTATTTTTTTGGTTCAACCTTGTTTGTTTTGGTTAAGCGATTGTTGTTGCTGTCAAAAGCTGGCGTATAAATTTGCATTTCGACAAAGCGCGAGAATTCACACATGTTAACCCATTAATGCCTGCTTCTGTGGCCCAGCACTATGAAATTAAAATGGTTAGAAGGGGCTGGAGAAAAACTACCAAAATGGTTTTCCATATTTACAGCGTTTTTTTTGGCCATTTAGCAATGGGTTAATTGAACAAAGAGCTCCTTCATTTGAATGCCAAAACACGTTTTTAAATAAATCAGCGCATTAATTATTCTCGCTTGCATAAATCGTTTCGCCTGTCGATGCCGCCTGCCCCAGGAAAATTTTATTCCGGCCCCCTAGTAGCTCGATTTTCCCCGATTTTCCGACCCCCTGCTGCTGCTGCTGCCAACACCTCCGCACATTTTTATTAGCTACGCATAATTGCTGCGGCAATAAAGCTGTTTTTCCCTTTGGCCAAAAAAAGGACGAGGACGAAGGACATGGCTGGGGATGAGGATGTGGGATTGGGAGTGCTGGGGGGCAGTGCGCGTGACCCGACAACATAACGACATTTAAGTGGCCACCGCAGCAGGAACAGCAACATCAGTAGTATCGCATCGGCATCGGCATCACCATCTGCCGGAGGAGTCCTTCTGCTCCAGGCTGTGGACTGCCGACCATGGACAGTGGGCGGCGGACGGTGGGCGTGGCTTCGGCCATGTTTGGCAACATGTTACAAAAAATTGATGCCATTGCTGTTTTTGCCCAGCTTTTGTTGCTGCAGCTGCACACATTTATTTATTGTTACAAGCTGCAGAGAAAAGCAGGGGAATGAGTGAAATGGTTACAAAAATATTTCCAAAGAGGAATTTTTGTTTTAGAAAATGCAAAAATAGAAGACATCTTTGTTGAGATATTTAAACAATTCATTAAAATAAATTTGTGAAACTTTAATATTACTTTTAAATTCATTTTCAATAGCACAAATATAAAAATGTCTTAGGATAATTATAAAATACATAAAGCTTTGGTATTTTTGAGGCATATGGTTTTTCATTTACCCCACACAAAAATATATAGATTAAAAACCTTATTTTGTTTTAGTAGGAAAATCGACTCGTTCTCAGATTCCAACTCATAGATAAACTCCTGTTGCTCTATTTCTTAACCCTGCGGTTCGTCTTGCGTTTAGGAACACACATCGCGGGATCCTCAATGCTGAGCACTTCAAAGAGCTCCTCGAAGGTTGGGGTCTCCTCCAGGAGACCCACGTTTCCCGGCACTTCGATGCCCCTCAGACGCATGCAGATCGCCTCGATGCTCCGCCATTTTTCCACGCAGCTCGGAGGAGCAGCTGGGTTCATGATTTCTTGCAAGGATACCTCGCACAGGTTGTCCTTGTGCCAAACGTTCTCTTTCACAGCCTTACCATCCTTACTTGTACTGGGCATATCCTCTTTTTCCGTCCACTTGGGAGCCCGCTGCATCATTTGGGGCATCAGTGTTTCCACAACAAGCTTATTATCCTGGTTCTCTAAAAACAGAAAGTCCTCGTCGCTGGTCTGCGGAGCAATCAATTGGGTCTGCAGACTCTTCGAATCCTTGTGCATTACATCCTTACTGTTTGAAATTTGGAAGTTGGAAAAAAACTTGGGCATCACTGTCTTCACGAAAATCTTATTGTCGAGGTTCTGATGATAAACAAGATCATCCGAGCTCAAATTGCTCCCCACAGAATGACTTGGCTGGTTTTCCGTTTTTATCTTGAAATCTGGATTGTTCAGCAAAGTGGCATTTCCTGATCCACGAGGTTTATCGTCCTCGATCTGGAGATTGGAAGAGTGACTCCTTTTCAGAGTTTTCCCAGTGGGCTTTTGGCTCTTTTTTTTAATCGCTCCATTTGTACGATCAGTCAAATCGTCATCGCTTGAGTTCTTACTAGGTTGCATGGGGATATTATGATTTTTGTAAAGGGATGCATCTTGGGAGAGTCCTCTCCAGCCCTCTCCCATCCCGTCAAGCTTTGGCTTTGGGGTTGTTCCAGTCAAGTGGCGACTCCTGTTTTTGTGATGATCCTTGTTCTCCTTGTTGTTAGGTTTGCTGGAGGGCAGTAGGCTCTCATCCCACTCCGAAACCGTTGTAGAACTTTCCCTAACACGTAGCCGAGGGTCTCGTGGAAAAATGTCACTCGTCACAGTCTCATTTACCTTATTAGCTGTGGTATTTTCCTTCAAAGTGTGAGGAGGCATTTCTGGTACTGGAGAAAGAGTCTCCACAGTCATTTGGGGTCCGGATCCGGATCCGGAGGAAGATGGACCTTCTTCGGACATCATGGGCTGTATTTCTACAAACTCGCTCCTGGGCAGGTGGACTGAGCACTTGTTCCGCTGCCAGTTCCTCTTCGACTAAAAAATATAAATATAGATACGAAGAGTGGTAAAAAATAAATTCTTTTAACTTTTTAAGCACTTTCTTACCATTTCGTTTTTACTCGAACAAATTTTTTGGAACCATAAAATTCCCGGAAGCTAAACACGCATGCGCACATGTGGATGGGCAGTCACGAAAGAAAAAACGATGGTTAAGATGGCGAAAATCACGAATCAGGGTTGCCAAGACGTCATAGAAGCGTATTCATAAGCTTTACTCATTTGATATATGGAATTTTATCCACACGCATTAAACATTTAATTTTTTTAAGCGAAAACAGCACACTTATAACAATTTACGCTTGCAATATTTCAAAATAACAATAATGGCCTGCCAACTTGCTGCAAATAACTACTTTTCTTACCAAGGATGCCAGATTGCTTTGAGCGGATACTCGAAGTTTAGGGCCAGGGCTGCCAGACAATAAAAAATACGTTAGGTTTTTAAACATTTAAAATTGTAAACAACTTTTAAAAAGCATTTGTTGATCTTAAGAAGAAGATTAAACTATAATCTGATAAGTCCACATTATTTTTAAACCCCCCAAAAATATAGGAACACTTAAAAAGAAAAACTAAGCTTCTTTGTTGTTGATTATAATTATTCAAGTTTTTTATTGTAATTTCCACATCAAGGTTTAAATTTGCTTTACTGCCACGGATTAGAGCAATGTCTCGGCATGTTGTAATTTCTCGGAAACTCTTAATACACAATACTTATTACAAAATATGTAGGAGAACCCTCCCCCAATCGACAGTTGTCAGTGGTTTTAACAATCCAGAATCCAGATAGCGCCGTCACTTTCAGCGGTTGTCAATGTTGTTGGCGCTACTGTTTCGTCCTGCGTGTAAAGCGCGAAAGGAAAATGTTATTTAATTACTCAAGCAAAAGCATGACAAGTGGAAATGTCGCCTGGGCGAGGGTCCTGGGCTCAGAAGCGAGGAGCGAGGAGCTGGTAGAAGGGATTCCGGGATCCAGAGTCATTCTCAGCAGGGCTGTCAGCTTGTCAGGAGCAGGCGCCATGGAAAAGCCGCCGGCGCATTGGTCACTCTTGCTCGCTTTTGTTTAAATTTAAATTCTATAAATAAATCTGCATGAGGACAAGGGAGACCAGGCATGTTGGCCATAAGCACGAGCAAGTGGATTGTGACTGCAGTTGGCATCGCTGTTGGCCACTAAACAAAAGCAGGCACAGCCACTGTGTGTTTTGCCCCGTTTTGAAAGGCATTCTGTGTGGCCGAATATCGCAGGACACTTATTTGTGGTGGTTTGAGGGTCCGAGAGTTTGCTCAGCTCAGTTGAGTTCCTTTTTAAGTCGTTTTTTTCCGTTACATTTGAATCGAGTATTACTATAAAAGAGTAGATGTCGATTTGCGTCATGTTCCCCCAGCCCAAACCATAAGTCCTAAAATTCTGGAAAAAATTGGGTCTGAATCGTGTGTTAGAGGAGGTGTGCACTAAGAAAGGATTTTTTAAAATTCGGCTCCTAAGGACTCCCAGGACTCTCAAAAAATGCAAAATTGGTTGATTAAAACATCAACCATTCCCACAGTTTTTAACCAAACAAGTTGATATTTTTTTTTTAAGCTTTATTTGTGGAAATCTTTGAAAGCCCAGAAGATGAGCCCCCACCGACTTCCGGTTGGGGCACTTAATTAATTTTTCCGCACCGATTATGCGATCGCATCCGTTTTTGTTTTAAAGTGCGGAGCTATGCCATACAATTAGTAAGGTATTTTTTTTTTTTTTTTTGGACCCACGGTTGATTTTATATGATTTTTTTTGTTTGCGGGGGTTGCGGGGGGCCTCTTTGGCAGCACGTTGTTTTTGTTTTTCGCAGCACTCACGAACGTCAGCAAAAGCAGAGCGAGAGAGTAGTGAGCAGAGAGAGAGAGTCATTTGAAGCGAAAGAGACGCCGCCAATGTTTTGTTTCTAGCTTAGAAACACCTGATAAAATTTTTCTATTTGGATACCAGAACGGATTATCTAATGGATGCAATTCTAAGTCAAAGTGTGTAGCCAACCCATTAAATTCATAAGGAATTTTGGTTTTGATTTTAAAAACATTTTGGATTGGCTTTCAAGGGGAGAGCAGGAAAAAAAACTTTCAGTCGTCACATTTGCATGTGAGAAACGCAATGACACACACACACATCGATAAATTGGCATGTACATACATAAGTATGTAATGATTAAATTAGGACAAAATAACGGAGTTAGATCTGTTTAAAATAAACGGTAAAAAAAGAGTAAAAGTTTTTCTCTGCATTCGCTTAGCTAACCAAATCTATAAAATTAAGTTGCGATTAAGGAGGTATTAGATAGATTAGGGTAAAAGAACTATAAGGGAAGGGTGAAGGTGAGAAAGATAAAGTTCGTTTGGACTTTAGTGAGGATAAGGTCAAGGTGACAAACAAGTTTTACTAAGAAAAAGTGAAGTTAAAGTAAGTATAGTAAGGAGAATTTGTTTTCAGGTGAGACTAAAGTTAGGTTAGCTAAGAAGAGGAAAAACTGGTGCTAAGGTGGGTTAAGACTAGGAAATAGTGAAAACAGCATTAAGGTGCTAAAAAAGTGTGCCAAGAGTTAGAATAAAATAGGTGGGGTTAAGGTGAGGTAATATTAGGGTTAATGCGGTGTTAAGGTAAGGTATGTTATGGTTAGAAGGATTAGAATATTAGTGCGTTGTAGGTGGGTTTACTGTTTAGCTAAGGTTACGCGGGATTTTACTCTGATATTAATTTGAATTTGAATATACAAAAAAATCAGCAATAAATGCATTGCTAATAGTAGCGGACAACGTCGCTTCGGGTATTGCTAGTTTTAATATAAAGGTGTCCAAAAGTATGCAATATTTTGAGTAACGAAACATGAACATTTTTTACTGCATACTTTTAGACAGCCTTGCAGGTGATTTGAAACCCATTTCTCGAAAATATTTGATGCTTTCACAAACAAAATGCAATTCTTCTTTGCTGTCCCTACGATTGCCATCAAACTTTGAACTCTCCGTTCTGGTCTAAACACACCTGACAGCCTGTTCATCCATTTCTTTTCCATGTGAGGAAACTCCTTTGACTGATTTTTATTCCCTTTATGGTACAACAGTTTGTTGTCCCTGCATTCTGGGAAGGTAATGCATTCGAATCGACAGACTCGAACGCCTTGAGCACGATGTTAATCCGATGTAAGCTCGTGTCCAAAGTCCACAGATCTCCACGTCATGCTTCAATTGTTCCCAACATATTGTTCTCGACAGACTCCAACTGCCAACCGAAAAAACCCGGAACCATCACATGTGTGCTCACCTTTGCCATCAAAAAGCAACCACAGGGGAGAACAGGACGCAGGGCTGGAAAAAAAATAATCACAAGGATGGGACTCTGGGGTTCGGAATGGGGATGGTATAGGGTATAGGGGAAAAAACGATGTAGCTGTGGAAATAGTAGTAGAGATAGGAAAGCGAGCAAAAAAATCTCAGCTGCAAATGACTTGTGTGCCATTGAGATAAACCCAAAATTTATTTATTTTTGCCATAAAACCCGAATGCAGTCAAGGCAAAAAGGACTTTTGGCCAGAAACCATTGTGATTGTGTGTGTGTGTGGCAGGCATTTGTTGTGCCTTCGTATGTATTTGTGTTTGAGCTTTCGACAGCAACAACAAAAGCGATGACGATGGCAACTAACTACAAATCCGTAGGCAATTAATTTGGCTAGAAAGCCCAAAAATACAAAACACCCGCCCGCATATTCGTGTGTGTGTGTGTGTTCGGAAAATGGGCAAAAATATTAAAGGGGGATAAGAGGGGGCGGCGCTCTGCCGAGTGGAAATGGAAAAGCGCCGCGCTCGACGTCAGCGTCAGTCGGTGGGAAAAAACGCAGAGAATCTGGTTCTGGCCAAGGAAAAAAGCAGTTTGAATGGAAATTCAATTGAGTGACATGAAAATGGAATTTTTCATATTTTTCCGCATGTTTTTGTTGCTCTCTGCGGAGATGAGAGAGCTCGTGTTTGGCTGCCAGGCACTTCACAAACACACAGTTTGTTCTTCATGTTGCTGCTGTGCTGTTGCTGTTGCTGCTGCTGCGGCTAACAACAACTATGGCATAGGAAAACGCCTGGCAGCCAAACCAGCAACATCCTCGCACCCACACAGCCGAAAGAGTCCTGGCGGAGATTATGCCCCGTCCCTGTCATTGCGCTACCTCTCTCTCCCTCTCTCTTCCCCTCTTTGGCAACAAAAAAACGTTTGCTTCTGACATTTTCATAATTAGGTATTCAAAATCTTTAATAACGGTTACTCTTGCTGGTTGTTGCTGCTGTTGTTGCTGCTATTGTTGCTGCTCCTGCTGCTGCTGAAAGCTGCCAGTTGCCACACAAATACGCATATTATCCTTATGGAGTTTTTGTGTCTTTGGGGCATACGAATCTGTGGCTAAAGAGCTTTGTTTAAATACATGTTGCTGCTGTCGCTGCTGCTGTTGCTAGTTGCTAGTTGCTGCTGTCATTGCTGTTTCCAATTTAAACCAAATTTCTATTTTAGATCACACTGATGAGCTGCCATCAAGGCTTAAGTTATTGAGTAATCACCACAAATGTGTAATTGCTGCTGTCTTTCTCGACTTTGCCCCTTTTCCCACTGCATTATCCGCATTTCACTTGCAGTCTACATTTTTACGCTCTTCACTTTGCCAGCTGGAGGAAAAGTCCTTTCTTGGCTTTTCATCTGCTGGAGGCGACAGGACAGGCAGCTGACGGCGACAATTCTAGCGCGTCCTTTGCCTCTGGACAGGCCAACCGCTGAGCAACTGTCGCTGTCGAGGAAAAGTAAAAGGAAGAGGAGGAGGACGAGGACGAGCACTCAGACGAGGGCAATCTTAATAAGCCGCCCAGTGGGTGGCCAGTTCACAGGCACCCGGACAAGGCCATTACCATCCATGAAGTGTTATCTGCCGACACCCAGTTGCCGATTCCCATATCTCCCCCAAACAGAGGGGGACACCCAAACAAACAGCTTCATTTTGACCTGCTGGCCTAGAGGACGCATCAAGTGGGTGGTGGGTGGTGGTTGCTCTGATTTTGTTTGCTGAATTGCCGTTGCCGCTGAGCAAACAACTTCCTTATCGCAGCGATACACGCTGCCTTTCGCCAGATAAACACAAACACACAGAGACACCCAAGTGACAAGTCACAAGTGACGCATGTGCAGCAGCAACATCAGCAGTTACAGCAGCAACACAACATGTCATTCAATGTTTAAAATAAAAATTAATAATTCATCGATGCGTCAACAGCAATCCGTTGTTTGCTCTCCTTCTTTCCCCCACTTAATGTATATTCGGATATTTTTTCTTTTTGCGACTGGCCATTTGGTCCGGTTGGTCCCAGCTGCCGCCAGCCGATGTATGCCACTCCAAATTGCCGTGATTTCATTCAATTTGTCGCAGCAGCAGCAGCAACAGCAGCAACAGCAGCGGCAGCAGCAACAAATGTTGCCACTTGCCAGCCAGCGCGGCCCAAAATTGTTTTCGTTTGCTACGTTTCATGAGAATATTCCTGGGCCCAGTCTGCTGCTGCTCTTCTCTCTCGCTTCCATTCGCCAGTGCGAAATGCGCATAAAAAAATGCTGTGTCCAACGCCCACAAAAGTCGCCCAACCCCACCCATCTCCATCTCCAATTCCTTGCCAATCCCCCCCAGAAATCCCAGACGACGACGACGACGACGTCAGGCTGGTGTGCCAATGCACAATTGTTGTTTGTATGAGAAAATCTCGCCTAATGGCGTTTTACATTATTTGCCGCCTGATGCTGCTCTTCCGACGACGACGACGACTTCGCTGCCATGGCCAACTGCTACCAAGTAGTAAAAGAAGCGGCCTTCCACCCACCGAACCACCCACTGCCCACCCAACCTTTTGGATTTCCCAACTCGAGTGCCAAATATTCCCTCTCTGTCGCTCCACGTTCAAGTTTGTGGTTTAGGGTGCTTGGGTTTTCGGTTGTGGCAAGTTTTCCTCATGATTCAGGACAACGGGGAAATGCGGGGATGGGAAAACTGCGGCTGCTGGACAAGATGAATGGCCACTTATTGGCCAAAGCGGGTTTTGTTTAAATTGTGGTGGTCAATTTGTTGGAATGTATTGAAACGTCTTCGCAGGCGTAGATTGATGGAGCCACCAGATGGCCGGATGATATGCATGGCCCATGTGATAGATGTGTCAATCGGTGGCTAATTAGTACGGGAAATTGGAGAGACTGGATTTGGGGGACATGTGGGAGTACTTAATGATTATAGAGCTAAGATCAATATAAATCACGATTCAAATATGAATCAATTATTTAAAAAAACTAGATGATTTCGATTACAAGATTAAAACGCGAGTTCTTTAGAACAAGACAAGTTATCCACTAAGGTAATAAATAACACCGCGAATTCATCAGAACCAGAGAACATTTCCCTCCAAATGGATACTTAAACCCATTTTCATATTGTGTTGAATCAACTTGGGACATACGAAGAAGAAGATCTAAAAATAAATTTTATTAAATTTGCAATAAAATTATACCCCTTGGGGGTATCTTTAACCTATAAATAACCCCATAATTTGGTATAATCTCTGAGAAATCGAAAAAACTAACGAGCTATTCTCTTTTGTTACTCCCCCAACTAATTACACTCGAGCACTGATCTCTTAAACCCTCGAAATACGCCCACTTCCAATTGGAGAGATCCGGCATGGAATCGAACCGAGCTAAATCGCATCTAATTTGCCAGACCATTTCGTTGGGGTGGACCAAAACTGGGATGGGGGTGGACCTCCTGAGCATTTGACATGGTGTGAACACGCACATAAGGCTCTTTTCCTTTTTAGCAGGATGGGAGAAATGGCATTCCCCCGAAGGGAGACTCTTTCTCCGTGAGTGTGTGAGTACAATTGGTTGGCAATTTATTTAAATATCGGCACGCAGTTGGGAACTGAATTGAACTGAAGGCAATGCCAGTGCCAACTGGAATGCGAAGGCAGTGAAATAAATGTGAAACAGCAACAGCAGAAAGAAACAAGCTGCTGCCAAAAAGGAATTTTTCAGCTGCCGTCGAGGGGAAAGGGAATGGGAATCAAACGGAGGAGGTGGGGAGTCTGAGTTCAGCAGCAGCTGATGTTAATAGCCCAGCGAGCCAGCGAGTGTCTGCCAGTTGTTGTTGTTGTTGCTGTTGCCCCCGAGCGGAGGGAAGAGCGGTACCGGTAGCGAAACAGCTGTTCCATCTGCAAATGCGCAGGCGCCTCGAGTCGAGACGATGATGCCATCCGAATGGCAGCAAAAGTGCCGAGCGGACTGCCGAACGGAGCGGTCGAACATGTGCTACCTGGTCTACAGGGCTGCTCTCACAAACAAACCCAACTTTCGACTGGTCGGACGTCCTCTGCTCTTGAGCTCCGGAGTTCCAATCGCATTCGCAGTCCGACTTCCGCGTGTTCTTCTTGTTCTTCTCGTGCATCCAGCGCGCGCCATCCCAAAGATACTTTGTGACTCAGATTCCGATTCAGTCGTTTGGCGTTCCTCCGAGATGCCGGTTCGCGTTTCGCGCTGCCGCCTCCGTTATTGTTACAATGATTCGATGGTAAATAACAATGCAAATAAATAAGCGGTCGCGAAGTGCTAAATATATCAGATACCCGTCGAAAGTATCTCAAAGATAGAATACTTACCAAGAAATCCAGAAACACTCCATCTACAACAGAGACAACCGAGACACCCAAGATATCTGCCAAAATGGTGAGTCCATGCAAATTGTATCTCGACATGAACATGAGCTATGGCCAACACATGTTGATTGTGGCCAGCTGTCTGCCGCCACTCAAAGTGTCTTTGGCCTTATAGAGAGCACACATACTATATATCTCTGACGGGCCATGAGATATCTGGTCGCATCTGTTTTTTATCTGCTCGCAGACGCAAACAAACTCGCCGGGCACAATTGCAGATACAAATTCGTTTGTCAAGTGCTCGAATAATAGTTTAAGACGGAATACACACACATATATATTTAGTTTAGTTCGGGGGGGAAAATCTCGTTTTCGTTTTCCCTCTGCTTTGTCAGTTTCACGTGCGAAATTATAAATTATTTGCCCTCTTTTTGCCGCTTTTTCGGGGGGAGGTTGCAAGGGGCCGGAAGCGACATCCAGTGGGTTTTTGGTCCATGACTTTGGCCGCCGTCTGTTTCTGATGGCCTTGTGCGCCGCGTTCCCAACAGAAACAGAACTTCCAACTGCAAATAATTGCAGCTGGCTGCCATGTGTCGCTGCTTTTGGTTCTGCTCTTGCCGCTGCCGCTGCTGCCTTTACCGTCTGTCGATTCCATCTGCTGCACAGCCATGGCTATAGGTATATATCAGTGGTATATATCAGTAGCAGCCCCGAACTTTACTTCTCGAACAGCCTCCAACGGGGAAACTGGGAAATCGTGAAAACCCCCAAATGGCCCAGATGGGCCTTTTCCTGGCCAAAGTTTACGGCCGATAGTAAAGTTTTGAGTGCTGCCAGGGCTAATTGATTGCCCTATCAACTTAATCAACCCTCAAAATAGGCGGTATTTTACCTAGCAGCTTACTTACAACATTATACATTTTATCACAGTAGCTTATTAATATTTAAGTTCAAATATTTAGGTAAAAATATTTATTTAAAATATCCGTCTTCAATTTTCTTATTGTTAAATTATTTTAGTAAAATATTTTGACATGAATATTATTTAATTACGTGACATGACCTTTATTGAAAAAAGATAATAATATCCATTGCTTCAATAAAATGTTGGAAATTCTTTTAAAATAAGTTACATTTAATTTATTGTTTTAAGATACAAATGAAATGAGCTGATGTAAATATGAAATGTCCTGATAATAATAAGATAATTATTAACCTTATCCATAACCTTAAAATGTTGTTAATTAAGCACTGATCATAGGGCAAATAACTCTCATAAATTATCCCATATGAACTCCAAAGAATTGTTTGTTTTAACTTACCAGAATTATCAACTAAGGATCGCTGAGTTGTGGGGATGATATGAGGATCTCAGGATCTCGTCCTTTACCTTTTGTGACTTGTGACTCACTTGGGAAATCACCTGGCCGATCTGGCCTTGGATCGGCAGCTGTTGCAATTGATGATCAAACGGGGAAAAGAACGATACCGATATTGGGATGGAGGAAAGTAGAGAGCGGGATGCGAACAAGTGTGAGGCCAGCTGCCTTTTGGCCTTATTGTCTTTTTGGCCTTTTTGGTCTTTTTGCCTGGCCTGGCTTGGCTGATATTGTTATTGTTATTGGCAATGCGGTTGCTATTCCATCTCGACCATCTCCTTTTATTTTCATTTTCTCAGCGCCGCTGTCATTGGCATGACACCTGCATAAACATTTTAACAGCTTGTAGGCTCAGACGCGGCCTGTTTTGTTTTGTTTTTTGTGTTTTCTCATTTTTTTCCGCCGCTCATTAAACAACCCAGTGCCACCGCAAAAAAGGCGAAAAAAGGTATGGGAAGAGCCCCTTAATTAGGGGTTGGACTAATTGATACCCCGTTGTATGATCACAGTGACATAAAGGAGTAAGCGCAGGGGATAATGCGATAATCTGACTGTATATGGTAATTTAAATGCCAAGGGGTAATATTAACCATAAAAACTGCACTTATTATCTTGTTAAATGTGTAGTTATACAACCATAATTATTATAACAACAGATGAACTGAATTGCAAATATGTTATGTTGTTTTGAAATCATTTTAACTGGTTTTTACAGAATATTTTAAGATATTATTTTAATATTATATATATATTTTTTTTATATTTTAAAGTTATACCTTTTATTATTTTTATATATTGGATGATAACTAGTTGAATGGTTGTTTAAAATGTTTTATTTCAATTGTAAGATAAAAACCGATTTCTACAGATTAGTTTTCTTCCATAAGATCCCCCGAAAACGGTTATACCCTTTAATGTACCCAAACGAATTGCCCTCAAATCGTTGGCATTTGCAATGCCTACAAGCGGAGTAGACAGCTTAATTGTGTCTAGCAAATAAGTAGATCCAATATTTCAGTCCTGCCTGCAAACCAATTAGTGTCAGCAATTTCATTTTGTTTTGGCCGCTGGGCAGCTCGGCTCAGCTGGTTGAGCCTTGTCTAATCGGCAATCGGTAATCAGCGGGCAATCAGGCATTCAACAAAGTTCTATTAAATAATGCAAGTCCCAGGGGGGTGGAGAGTCGGCAGTCGAGACCACAGTGGCCGGTTGCACATGGTGATTGAATTTAAAATGGACAGCGGCGAAAAAGGGCAAAGTTATTAGCGTAATAGTCCGGGGGGCAAACACAAAGCACAAACATGTAGATCCATAGGAACAGGTGAAAATGCACATGACAAGTGCAGCTGTTGGCATCAAATTAGTCCCCTTTTCTGAATTTCCACCACATGTGTGCGCCGCTCGGTGTTCCTGCCGGCAAAATCCCACCATTCAGGCAATCCATCAAGGGCTCAATCAATCATTAGCAAACGCAAACTTCAGGCGGGGGCGGGGGGAAACCCAAAACAAACAGAAAAAGAAAAAACTTTGGATTTTCACACCTTTTGCAATTAAGATGCCGCCTAGACGACATTGACTAATGAGACGCCATTTTGTTTGCGGCCTGGCGCAGCTGAGCCAACAGACAACATGGCGACCGGAAATAAGTCAATTTGCTTATTAGACTTGTCAGTCGAGCGGGGAGCAGCGGAAGCCAGTGAAAACAGAATGGAGCTGAGAGCTGGAAAACCGTGCTCAAAGCTCAAACGCAAACATTGCAAACGGAACGAAAACGAACCGAAATGGATGGTTTTGTCGAGGGGCAAAAAAAAAAGAAAAGGAAATACAGAAAGAAAAGCCAAAAAATCGCGAAAATGTCACACACAGAACACAGCAACTAACGGCTCCCCCGGAAAAGCGGAAAAGTGGAAATGCGGGGCTGCATACGCTTAATCGAAAAAGTCAAAAACAAAATTCGGCGTCGCTCTCATCCTGGTTTCCTGCTTTCCTACTCCTAGTTCTTCTGCTCGCCTGGCTGCCTGCCTTTTTCCTCGTTTTTCCTCGCTTTTCCGCTCCGCTGTTGTGGCTTTTCCACAGCCACTGCGAAATTGTTGGCGCTGCAAGTGGCAGCTTATTAAAAAGACGTGGGCCACAGAATGTTTTGGGGGCAAGCAAAAATGTCATAGGAAAAGCCAGCGCAAAAAGCGATTTTTTCTTTCTCGTGCAAAAACAATGGAGAAAATAATAAAGCTGGGTCGCCAGTGGCAGGGGATATATTTATTTAGTAGAGGAAAACTATATTGGTTATATTTTGATTCGACTACAGTAGTTTTCCCCTTCCAATCAAAATTATTTCGGTAAATTCCCACTCCCCAATTGGAAGCTAAATGTAGACATTGACCTTTTGGCTACCTTAACTAATTACATTCTTTAATGTGATATTTTTTAAAATGTTATGCTTAGTATTCTAAGCTGAAAACTATTTTTAATTATATTTCTTTAGGTGGTGTGTTAGAATTAAAATTACATTTAATATATTTTTTATAGATTTTAAAAACAGTTACCCCCTTTAGTCAATATATTTCCAAGTCTTAACCATTAACCTTAGTCCACCCACAATGGCAGCTGTAACTCAACCCTCAACCCAGAGGCTCTTATGTTTTAAACATTTTCCGGAGACGGGACAAAAAACTGTGTCCACGAGTGCCGCATGTCCAGTACAATCGCCGAATCGCAGACGCCGTTCGCTGGCAAGCTACCAAAAATATCCAAAGTGCCCCTGCCGGCATTTGAATTGGATTTGCCAGGCGGTACAGTATATGGCTGTTGTATGGCTGCTCAGCCCTAAATCTCCCGGCTCAGACTCAGCTGACCTTGTCCCGCACACACTCTTATACTTTTACACTCTTACATTCCGAAGAGGAAAAAGAAAGGGGCGTTGGATGGAAACGACAAACGAAGCAGCTGGCACAGCTGGCGCAATATTTCTTGCCCCAGATGAATCGCAGATGATGCCGCAGGAGAAGCAGCCGAGTTGCTCCCTCCTTGTAAGTTGTCAGGACACACAGTTGTTTGAGCTGCTGCCTCGAGTGTCTGCAACAGATTTGTGCCAAAAAAAGGAAAAAGGGGGAGTGGTATTGCTGCAGGGGCAATGTGTTGCTCGTACGAGAGCAACACTCATCGATTTGTGCATTTTGCTGGCTCACCAGAGGCCAGAGTCCAGGCGATTTAGCCTGCTATTGGTTAATGGACGATGAAGAATTGAGCTCCTATTAGACCACCGCACAGGTGCAACTGCATCTGCATCTGAATGGGTCGCACCATCAAGAGCACCTGCTGTCATTCGCAATTTTTAATTGAAAACGGTGGCTGCTGCTGTCTAGAGCAGGCTTTTGGCCAAGAGACATCAACGTCGACACGTGCCAACATGTGTTGCCAGTCGCTTGTGTGTTGCCTGTGTGTTGCCTGTGCTGCTCTTGCTGCTGGCAGACAAGTTGGCAAAAACTTGAATGGCGTCACGTGCTGCAAGGCTGGCAGAATGATTTTCCAATCAGAGGAGAACAAGCGCCGCCAGCCGTGGCAGCTGGGAAATCTTCAATTGCAACAACACACGTTGGAAAATTGCATCCCGGCAGCAGCAGCAGCAACAGCACAAGCGGCTCAACAGCAACATCGGCAGCTGGCGGCCATCAGCTGCTGTCGCTGGCATAATTGGGATGCCTAAATACGTTCTGTGGGCAACATGTGGCAGCCAAATGTTCTCCATTTGCCCCCAAACTCCGCACATAAAGCAGTTCGTATCGGAAATAAAACAGACCATAAAGCCGATTAAGCGCGACACTCGTTCAACTGTTTTTGCCTCGTAAATGCTGCTGCTGATGTTGCTGCTGCCCCTGTGACAAGCCATTATCTTATTATGCCCCACACAGGCTGCAAATGAAGGGTGAATCAAGGGGCAGGGGCGGGAAAATTCGCACGTGCGGCCGAGTAGTGCAAAAATGTTGATGTTGCTGCTGTTGTTGCTGTCGCCCCTCTTCCTGTTGCTCGTTGTCTGTGTGGCTGTGTGTGAGATGTGTAATTTAAAATGACGCCAATGCTGCGGCACGTTGCCAACAGACACAGCAACACATATATACAGACACCCTGGCAGACTGAGAGGCGCTTAGCAAATAGTTGACGAGGGTTGCCGCTGAAGTTGAGGCTAATTTCGTAATTTTATTGCAGTTTAATGAAGGCGAAATAAGGGGTAAGGGCATTAAATTGAATTCATTAAGTTCACTGATCAGCAGGAGTGTTTGAATTTGAACATTCGGTTAGCCAATTAAAAAAAAAGGATTTGAGGAAAGAATAACACAAATTAATTGAAAAGATTTTATTAATATTCTGTTAAAAACTCATTGAAATAAATTAAATAAATCGTTTAAAATTATACACCTACCAATTATAGATAGTTAAAAGCTACAATAAGATTGATTTGCGAAAAACAGTACTTACACTTTAATTACAAATCAAAATTATAGTTCTTCTTTTACTTGAAAAATCAACAAATCGATTTTTAGGCCTCGGACAAAAACTTATTAATCGCTTTGGCACATTTTCTCACATCTGCTCTAGAACGGCTGTAATTGTAGACGGTTGCCGTGTAATTAACCCCTGAATGCCAGCCGCCCACTTTCGACCCCCGGCTGCTTTAATGCTAATTACCCAGCCCCCTATAACCAGAAACTCTTCGCACAACCCATCCGTTTTTTTTCCGCCTTCGCCAGCATACATTTGTAGCTTCATGTGTAATGAAGCAGCTGACGCAGCAAGTTGCAAAAAAGTTTTAACTGTGAAACGATGTTGCTGCTTTTGCTGTTGCTTTTGCTGCACAGGTGTCGTCGCCAGTCGCCAGTTGCCAGTAATCCCTCCCAGCAGCGGGAAGCGGGTTGGTCGTTGGGCGTTGGGCGCCACTTGCGCATAATGACGCACAATGCGGAGTGGAGTCCGCCATACAAAGTGCCCCGGAGTCCCGGATTCATGGATTCGGGGAGTCCCAAGTCGCAGGTTCGAGTTTCGAGGTCCGAGGTCCAGTTGGTTGTCATTCGCACACACACATATGTGTGTGTCGACGAGGGGAGGGGAGGGGAGGGGGTGTGGAAAATGGGCAGCTTACCGGGAAAGCACATGCAGCTGTGCTGTGATTTCCCATTCTCTCATCCTCCCACCTCATTCTCGACTGGCCTTCAACCCTCTGACTGCCCAACTGCCACCCCCTTCAACACACCATTTTCCACATCCTTTGTTGTTGTTATTTCAGTTGGCGCGCCTTTTCGTTAACCACTTCTCGTCCTTTTCATCCTGCCTGTATCTGTGTGTGTCTGTGTGTGGGTGTTTTTGTTAGCAAAAGGGATAAAAGTATAAAATGCTTTGGTGTCCAGCACATGGCTCGCTATGCCACGCCCCTGCCAACGAACCCAACGCCACCGCCCCCAAAGAATTAAATGAATGTCGTTTAAAATTTGTCCTTTGTTTTTTATGATTTTTGCCAGCCTAATTGAAAATTATGCAGTGAAAATGTATTTTGCCGTTGCCATTCATTTGTCAAATCGCCTGGCATGAGCTGCTAATAGTTGCTATATTGCCTTGGGGTGAAATGTGGGCTATAATATGCCATCACTTGGGAAAAGAAAGAAGGTTGAGCAGATTTAATTTCTGAGTAAAATATGAAGGAGTGAAAAAAAATTATTCAAAAAATGTAAAAAAATATTCGGAAATATAATTTAAGGCCACAATATACAAACAAATGTTATATCAAGGGTTCCACAGAATTCACTTGTAAAGATGTCTGAAAGTATGCAACAATAATTTCTATGGACTTGTTCTAAAAGACTGGGATCCTTGTTTTACTGCATACTTTTAGACACCTTTATAAGTGATTTCCAAAACCATATGTTTTTTGGGGCACCACCGCAATATTTGATTTTTCTACGCAGTGTATAAATGTTAAAAAATAAAGTAAATCAACCATTGACGATTCCGTCCCACTGTGCTGCCTCCGTTTAAATAATTACTTTTCCTCTTGGCAATTTCGCCGGCAGCCGGCAGCCGTCGCAGCCTCAGCCTCTTTCTCCTCGAATTCTCCCGAATCCCGGATCCTTCTTCATCCTGCCTCATCCGCTTCAGCTTCAGCTGGCCCAAGTTTTGTGGGAAAAACTTCTGCGGGCGACATTTTCCATTTTGCTGCGATGGAAGCTTGTGAGGCTCCCGGCTCTTTGAAGTGCTTTCCTTACACAGGATGGAAAATCGAGGGGGGAAAGGGGGGCCAGGGCATGGGCATTTGGGGGGCGCCTTCTGGCGACGACAGGCGACAGCTGCTTGAGCGACAACGACACGACTGCTCCTGACATTTGATTCATTCGTCATAGCCAGGCCAAAAGCGGCAGCTGCCGGCTATTAAGTGAGTCAGAGCAGAACAGAACAGAAAAGCGCAGAGAGTGAACTACCCTCGGTTGCCATCCCACCACCCACTTCCCAATTAAGCTCACCTGCCGCCTTTCACAAACACTTGTTGTTTGCCCCACCGCCGCCACCACCTCACGCATGTTTTCTCCCCCTATCTGTGTTTCTTTTTCGCAAACTGTGGAAAGACCTCGCTGAAAAACACTTGTCAAGTGCTCCTCCGGCTGAGGGATAGCACAAGATCGAATCGTCTGGCCTGGACTTTCCCGGCAAAAAATGAAAAACAAAAAGGGGGCTGGGTCGTCATTAGTCGCCCCTCACTTTGGCAAACGGCAGCTGCCGGCGTGTCAAGTGTTTGTTTTTAATAGAATTTCATTTGCGGCATTTGTGTGTAATTTCGCTCTGATGCCGAACAGCTGCTCCAACTGCTATGCAATCCGCATGCCCCTCGGAAAAGGGGAAAAGGGGTTCTTTCGATACCCCCACTCGATTGTAAATATTGCCGACGGGCGCGAGGATTGACTTTAAACAATTGCTCTAAACAATTTCTTGCACCTCACTTTGGCGCAAACTGAAAACGGCCAGCAGAGATTGATCGAAAACATGAATGAAACTGAACAGGTTTGCAGGCCCCCTGCTTTTGCGCCTTTCCTTCGTGTTTTTCCTGTTTCACCCCCTCTTGTTTACGCAGAGGCATGGCAAGCTGCACAAACTCCCACAGTCGGCAAAGGTATTTACATATTTTAGTGATAAAAATCAACACAAAAATGTTTCCCCTCATGCGAACTGGACATGAACACGGGTTTTAGGTGGGAGGCGGAAAGTGGAACGTGTGGAAAGATGGGTGGTGAGTGGGTGGCCGGAACTCCCGGGGAAATGGGTCGCAATGATGGGTAAACAGGAAATGCAGTTGCCGAGTCAATTAGCAAGGCTGCGTTCCCGATCTCTTGATTTTCTCCATTTCAAGAACTCGAGGTGGTTTCCCAATTCCTAATTCCCCATAGAAAATTCATTTAGTTGGGCGTCTCGAGTAAAAAGTTCTTCAACTCAATTACGAAACAGGTGTTTACGGCGTGTGGACTGTTGGCAGCTGTCGGTGCTCTTTGGCCGAAAATTGTTTTAAGTCTCTGCTAATTGGAATGATGGGAATATCTCAGGAATTTATAGAAATTGTTCGAAATGAATATTAATTGATGATGAATGAAATGATTTAATTCAATTGTTACAGAAAAAAGAAATATATTGCAGATGTAGCTTATGTTATAAGCAGAAAAGATCAGTCTTGCCAAAAAATGTAATGTAAACTATTTTAAAAATTTGCCAACAAATTTTGTTTAGTCAAAATCATTTTAATAACAAATTATTTTATTAATTTATTAATTAATTATTAATTTATATTATGGCGCATAAAATATGGCCAGGATAAAATTTTAAACATTATATGCAGCTATAAATAGAATTTTAAATTGATAAATATAATGCAGCAAGATCAAATTCTTAACACTGTTTCACACATTTTTAGTGCAGCCAAAATTAATCACTATTTTCAAATGATGACCATTTAAAGAGCAACTACGAGGATTAGCATATCATCACAATAAAATTAAATTCAATTACGGTCCGCAAGCCACCAAATTGTGAGGGCTTACCCAGAAGGGATAAAATTAGAGACACTAATAATGCAGCTGGTTTATTATTGAATGGAAAGTGCATATTTAAAATATCTGCACTTAAGCCCCTTCAGAAATGAAAGCAATTTGGCCAAATTAAAGCGGCAGCTGTTCTTTCCTCTCTCGGCGAACAAAGGCCCAAGGTCTTCGCCTTTGACTGTGTATTCCAGTGTGTATATTTCAGTGCGGGCGCGCCCAATTTGCATGTCAGACAACCATTTAATCAAATTGAAATCAAATAAGTTGAAAACATAATGTGAGAACTTTGTCACTTGATGTTTTCGTCTATCGCCGCTCTTGGGAACCTGTGCAGTCTGCCGAGGGAAATTAGCTGGGCGTGGGGCGGCCCACCCCCCTACGGCTATATCTATATCTTTTCCATTTTCCATTCCGTTTTGCTGTAGCTAACCGATTTCCCTGCCCGTTTCTCCCCGACTATTTCCAGATGGCGCTCGACGGCAAGGCGATAATTAAGGAGGAGATTACCGACAAGGACGCTTACGACGCCGCAGCGGCGGCGGCAGCAGCGGTGGCAGCGGGAGCCGCCCTGGCGGTGGCCACCGCAGCAGCTGTCCAGGTGCCGCCCGCGTCCTCATCCTCGGCGGGATCAGCGTCAGCGGCAGCTGCCGCGGCCACCAACAACACAACATCGGCGGCAGCCACAGCGGCAGCAATTAGTCGTCGGCTTAAAGGTGAGTGGGGCATACTTCAAGGCGCGCTACACTGGGAAGAAAGGGGGTTTTCACTTTCTTAAATATTGTTCTTTGGCACCACCACGACAAGTCACAGAATTTCCTTGAAAATCTACTGAGATCTATTGACTTATTCCAACGAATCTTAATATTAAAGTATACCTATGTCGTAAATCATACAATTATTGCTTAAAATAGGCCGCATGTCATTCGCTATTAAACTAAAATACGTATGTATGCGAAAGATCCGCTGTCTAATTAACAATAATTTATTTCTAATTTTTTTTTGTAATTTCAATAGTCAGGAGCTTAGAAATAAAAATTAAAATTGTACTATTTTAGACTGGGATAATAATATTATTCTTGTTAGAACAAAAACATGCAAAAAATAAAAATGTGATAGTTACCAACTAGTTTTATTGGCAGTATTGACAGAAATAATTCTATAATGTATTGTTGATAGCAGATTTATGGTTCGAGCTGCGGAAGTTCCACTGTACACTCAAAATCCCCAATATTTATGGCTGCGTACTGTGATGGTGTGAAATTCAGCAGCTGCACGTGTTCCGCCTCCTCTTTAAAATGTTTTCACCCAAAGGAGTGTGGACCTAGACCCCAGCTCAAACTCCACTTTGGTATGCCAACTGAAACTCCACATCAGAGCATTGGGAATTCGTTACTTTTTAAATGGTTTTCCTGGCCGAACCGAGACCACAGGCCACAGTCGGAAACTTGACGAATTTGCGAATGAAAAAGGCCAAAAGCATTTTGCTATGTAGTTTTTCTGCACCCCCTCCCCAAAAAAAAAGAGGAGGAAAAAACAGAAACCGCTGCTGGCATTGTTCCCAGCATTCAGCATCAGGAAAGCCCGCACGCAGACGAGCATTTTGTTGCCTGCTTTCGGGCGTAGAAGCAGGGGCGGTGCAAAAGGGGGCTTGATTGCGGCTTTGATTGCCGGGAACTGGGATCTCTGTGCTACCTGCTTTGCCGGTTGCCAGGCAAATGATGTGTGGCCCAGCATTAAAGTCGCTTGAATTTCTTTCCTTTCACCAGCAATTAGCATTTTCCGGGCAAACAGTACCCCCCTCTCTCTCTCCATCAGATGATAATCAGAAGCAGTGCATGATGAATATTTGCCAAAATGATTGTTTTCCCAAATGACTATGCCAGCAACAGCAATGACAGCAGCAGCAGCAGCAGCAACAGCAGCAGCAGCAACAACAAACTAAACTTGCCAACGTTTCGTTTTGTGCGCTCGACTGCAATCTATGGGACGCAGCTGTGCAAATTCTGTTGCCCACATAGACACACACATAGAGGACATACACACACACAGATGCCTAGCCGGGACCACGCTGCGTATACGTAACCTTAAATCGATGGAGGGAGAGAGCCAGCGAGCTCATGATGCTGGCAAATGTTGGGCCAGCAGTTGAAACCAGTCCTCCGGGGTCTTCCTCCTCCCCCAAACATTATGTTTTAGAAAATATGTGAATTGTCAACACAAAATTTTCGTAAATAGTTTTTCGGTTTTGCGTGGGGTTTTCTTGGTAGCAGCTGCCGCTCCATTCGGCCAGCAACTTTGGGTCAGCAGTTGAGGTTTTCCCACAACAGGACCAAACCAAAACAAACCGAAACTTTTAAGCCCGGTCAAGTGCAATATTTTACAATTGTACACCAGCCGAGAGAGAAAAGGGGCAAATGGATGTGGCGATGGAAAATGCCGGCCAATTAAGCCAGGAAAAAGGGAAAGGGAATGGGAAATGGGAGAGAGGATGGGGGCGCCATGTGATCCATCATTGTCTATGTTTGGCGTTTGATAAGAGCCGCCGACTCGGTTGACTGATGCCTCCTACTATCCAACCATACACCCATCCTCTTCATATCCATGTGTCCCCCATTCTGGCTGGCAGTTGGCAGTGGGTGGTCGTGTGGCCCTTCGATTGGCATGGCGGTGGCGTGCCTGAATGGCTGTGAAAACACAGCCAGTTGCAGCTGTATCCACAATCATTATCACAAAAGCAAACTGTGCAGCAGCCGCACGGCAGCAGCAACATCAGCAGCAGCAGAAGCAGCAACAGTAGCAACAGCACAGCAGCAGCAGCGGCAACATCAACTGACTGCCATTCCCATCGTCGTTGTCGTCATCATCGTCCTCATCATCATGGTCATCAGCAACATTCGCCACCCACAGTGTCTGTCAGCCACCCACCCAATCGCCCATCAGCCCAGTAGCCCAGCTGCCCACACCCATAAACAATTTCCATTAGCTTGTGCAAACAAAGTTTGTGTGTGTTTGGTCGTCGCAGGCGACAAATGTGTCCTAAGCTTTTTCGATTTATTCGCTTTAGAATCTCAAAAGTCCCAGAAATAAGTTTAAACGAAAAGGAAACGTAATACTTTTGTTTTCCAAAGAATTAATAGAATAAAAGAATATATTAATTTGTTGTTAAATCATTTAACACAAAAATTAAAGATCATTAATTAAATAAAAGTGGGTGCTACAATAATGACTAGGATTTGAAATAACTTTTAAAGGTGACTAAAAGTATGCATTGAATGTTAATTTATTGAGTGAAGGAAATTCCGGAGTACAAAAACTGTTACATATTATTGGGTACCTTTGTAATTGACTTCAAAACTTTTGTAATTTTTACTCTAGATATTAAATATTTTAAGTTTATGGTAATTAAACTAATTTCTTTTTAAATGTTTATATATTAACATTTATGAAGGGTCTGAATAATGTTTGAAAATACCACAGAAGTGAACTTTTAAAAATATTAAATGAAAATAAAATAGAACTTCTTATTTGAAAGTATAGCAAGAAATGGAACATTATTTTGTCATCCTCGAATAACAATGTGTTGTAAAATAAAACATCCTTTCTCTGATAACAAAACCAATATCCTTTTGCGACTTTTCATCGCCTGACCAACAGTTTCCCAGCAGCTTCTCCGTCCAGCTGCGCACTGCGGATTTGCGTTAAGCTTTTCATTTTTGAGCTACAGCATCGCTCTGGCTCTGCCAGGATGGGATCATGGATGTGGATGCGATGGGACAGCACGTACCGCAATGTGTTGCACCCCGAGCCGCCCCTCAAACCAAACCACCCACATGCCCAACCCAACCCATTCCCATCCCTCCTTGCAATTAGTGCGTTATGTGGTGCTTGATTTGCTTGCCTGACTGGGCCCAAACCACACAGTAGGGCCAAAAATGTTTGCTAATTTATTTCCCATGTTCAAACAAATTTGTTAATGCCGGCAGTTGGTCTGGAATGTAGTATGTACTACCAGGGATCTGTGGGACAAGTGCTGTAGCTTGTTGTGGTTAGGCGGCCCATACATATATGTTTCCGTTCCCTCGGCTTCTGCTAATGCATTTGTAATGCGCCTGGGCTGCACATCCTGTCCTGGTCCTGCAACTTGGACTTGGACTTGTTTGCCCTTGTTGCAGGATGAACATGCAACTAACTAACTGACCATTTGTTCTCCCTTTCGCCTCTCCTCTCGCCCCAAACAGCCAGCAGCAGCAGCAGCGGTGGAGATAAGAGCTCCTCCTCCTCGTCGAGCAGCAAGGACAGCAGCCACACATCCAGCAGCAGGAGCGACAGGGACAGGGAGAGGGAGCGGGAAAGGGAGCGGGATCGCTTGTGCCGCTCGCCGCCGGACTCTCCGCCGGACAGCTCCCGCAGCCTGGCCCCCCGCTCGCCCCACTCCCCGCTGCAATTGCACCAGCGACCCCAGCGCAATGCCAGCGTTTCGCCAGTGGTCAATGGCTCCTCCTCCGGCGGCGTGGGATCCTCGGGAACTTCACCCACTCCGGGGAGTCAGCATGCCGCCTCCCTGGCCGCAGCCGCCGCCGCCGCAGCAGCCGCCCATGTGGAGCAGGCCCGCTTGGTCTCCAAGATGCGCAAGTTCCTGGGCGCCCTCGTCCAGTTTTCGCAGGAACTGGGACAACCGGAAGTGAGCGAGAGGGTGCGCGCCCTGGTGCTCTCCCTCTGCTGCGGCAGCATTTCCGTGGAGGAATTCCGGCTGGCCCTGCAAGAGGCCATTAACCTCCCACTCCGACCATATGTGGTTCCCCTGCTGAAGAACAGCATTTCCCTGGTCCAACGGGAGGTTCTGGCCCTGGCCAGGGCCACCAATCAGTCGGCTCTGCAGTATGTGACCAACAACGAGCAGGCGGTGATGGAGTTCGCACCCCATGGCGTGGCCAGTGCCACCGAGTTCGGTGACATATTCATTCAGCTGGAGGCGCCCACATCGAATGGGAGTAGCGCGGTCTTCAAACGCCGCTCCTCGGACTCCATGATGGAGCACGGCGGCCACAACGGGCTGCAGGAGTGGAGCGAGTACATGGCCAGCGGGGGAGCGGGCTATCCGCCGCCGCCCAGCAAACGCCTGACCCTGCATCCCGCCCACTCGGTGGTGGCCTACGGGGACTACGGCGTCTCGTCGGCGGAGGGACTTCCCTCGGCGGCGGTCTTCATGCAGCGCGACGAGCGGGATCTGCGGATGAGCGAGGCGCAGGCCAGGCACGCAGCTCCCCCACAAAGAGCCGCCAATCCCCAGCCGAATCCCCTGCCCAATCCCAATGCAGCCGGTGCTCCGGGAGCTCCGGGCGGGGCGGGTGGCGAGGAGGAGTGGAAGAACATCCACACCATGCTCAACTGCATCTCCGCGATGGTGGACAAGACGAAGCGGGCCATCACGATCCTCCAGCAGCGGGGCATCGAGCCGCAGCTGCCCAACAGCGGCCAGGAGGTCACGCCGGCGGCCATGGCGGAACTGCGTCGGCAGACGGAGGAGAAGGTCGCCGAGTTCAAGCGGAATGCCGAGGATGCCGTCACACAGGTGAGAGATTTAAAAGGCTATTAAACAAGTTTATTGAATTAGGGGAGAGTGGGGGAATTTCGTCAGCATTTTTTCAAAGCTATTTTTTGTCCATCTTGAGACACGTTATCATATTTCTATTTTTATTGTTGAATGCGGTTAGCACCAAGCTTTAAAATGTGACATTCCCCTATTTTTTTAATTAGCTTGGTGATTTATAAAAAAATAAAATGTAAAACCAATATACTGGGGCAATCTCACCACACAGGGGGGTAAAATCACCACACAACTGGGGAAATTTCGTCACCTGAAAAATGTAGGGAGTTTAACGCCTGAAAATATGCTACACTGATTAAGCGTACCATTTTTGTTGACGTCCTATATTTGTTGCTGCTGCTGGTAGTCTGTTCGTTAGCCAGCTCGTTAAATATAAAAATATGTATTTAAAATAGGTGCGAATTTACCCTTAGCGTAGGGTGGCGAAATTTCCCCAGACCGTACTTTTTTAGAAATAATTATTTTTCTTGCGAAATTAGGCGCGAAGTTAAAAATCACTGACGCAGAAATGCACATTATAGCACTGTGTATTATATAAAAAATCGTGTATCTTATTCCTTTTGAATTGTGGCATACAGAAAAAATTTCGTCGAGAACTAAATGTAGCTTTTGAACTGTTAAAACACATTTAATATTATAGCTTAATTATCTTGGCCTTCTGTGCAAAACAAATGCATTGGTTGTGTCTGGCCGTCTTGAAGGACTAAAACAAAAAAATTATATATTTTTACGACTTATGAATTCCGAGATATTGCAGGTGACGAAATTGCCCCTGTGACGAAATTCCCCCACTCTCCCCTACTACGTTTAAGTGTCTTGAAAAAGAAATCTCTAGAGGTTATTCTAAAAAAAGCATATCTGCCTTATTTTACTGCATACTTTTTGGCTCTATTTAAAGTGATTTTAAAACCCCTCTGATTTTTTGTCACTTTCAGTAAATTAATGCTTCAAGACAATCTTCTCCAAGCCTTTTTAGATTTATGTAAAACCAGTTTGACATTTTCGTTTTTAAAATTTTATTTTATATTTTTTATAAACTTTTTTTAATTTTCCGTTTCCAGGTCAAACGCCAAGCTGTCATCGAAATCCAAAGGGCAGTGGTGGCTGCCGAAACTCGGGCGGCAGAGATCATGACCCAGGAACGCCTGCGCATGGAGAAGTTCTTCATGGAGATGAGTCGTCATTCCAGCGGAGAACGGGATCTGGACAACAAGTCGCCGTCAATGGCCAGTGCCCAGAATGTGAGTATGATAAAGAAGATAATAATTACAATTTGATTTAATTTCTAAATTGTTGTTAACCCTTTAGGGAAGCAATCTGCAGCAGCAGTGCTGGAACTGCGGTCGCAAGGCCACGGAAACTTGTTCCGGCTGCAACATGGCACGCTATTGCAGCGCCTCGTGTCAATACAGAGATTGGGACAGTCACCATCAGGTAGGCTAAACTTCTTTATAATAAAAAAAACAAATTTCATTTTTAAATTTAAAATTTTCTTCGGTTCAAATTGTTTACTTGCGTTTTATTTGTTCGATATTATTAAACTGTAAGTGATGTAAAATATATATATTGACTTTAGAACATTTTAATTAATTTTTCGGTCTCAAAAATGATCTAAAGAAATTTTTAACAAAGGTTTAATTTTTGTTTAACTGTTTGTACTTTTATCATGTATTATTTTAGTTTATTAAAATTATTTATTAATATTCAAAATTTATTTATTTATTTTCCTTTATTCAATTCCTTTTCCGAAGACAAAGGTTTTCGATTAAATAGGAGTACCTTTTTAATTCCAATTTCGTTTTTCCTTTCAGGTGTGCGGCAATTCGCGGGCCAGTGAGCTGAGCGCCAAGCACCTCCATTCGGCCAGCAGTCTACGCAGTGCGATGGCCACCAGGTCGCCACCCACGCCCAATTCAGCGGCCCATCTGCAGGCGGCGGCAGTGGCTGCGGCTGCTGCTGCGGGCGCCCGTGAAGCGGTCAGTGCTCCAGTTGGAGGAGGTCCGGGATCAGGAGTATCTGCCGGCGGAAGCAGTGTCCCCTCCGGTGGAGGAGGGGGTGGAGGAGCAGGCGGCGGAGGAGGAGGTGGAGGCGCCTCGGCTGCCGCTGTGGCCGCTGCCACTCCAGGTGCTTTGGTGGCCAACGGGTTGGGCTCCAAATGACGCATTCGCATGATGAAACCCAAGAAGAAGTACTTGTGCTAGTCAAATTAAAAAAAAGAGGGGGTGAACCACAAAAACCATATACACACTTAAAATTATGCAGCTAATATAGAGTTATCCAAAAACCAAAAAACGAGAAATGAGTAATTGTCAGCATCGTCACTTAAAGACAACTAAAAACCTAGATGATGCTTAACATCCAAAAAACGCATAAATAGATACAGATTGGTGTGCATTTTCACTAGAGTTTATACATTTCAGTGTTTCAAGCAGAGAACCATTAAGGAACGGGTTGAAGGGTATAATTGAAAGGGTTCTAATTCCTTAGAATAATCCAAAGGAAAGGTTATGCAACTTAAATTACTCATCAAATACATTTTAGGGAGTTTATCCTGCAATTCTCAACCTGTGACTTAATAAATGTACGGAAATTCCATTTTACCATCAGCACCTTCATAGGCAAAAAAAAGAAAAATACATCAATATTATTAACAATATGTGCACACTAATAAAGATTACATAAGCAAGTAAAATCATTCAAAGCAAAGAACTTGAGAAACAGTAAAATTCTGTAAGTAAGCAGCCCAAAGCGAGTAAAAACAAAAACTGAACATAGTAGATTTTATTAATACAATACAGTATATTACTACGGATATGATTATGATTATGAGAATGGCTAATTTATTGAACGAGTTTAATTTATTGATTAGTATTTATTGTATTCCCTAAACTAAACGTAAATGTACTTTTATCATAAACAAATACCAAGTAAATGTTAAACCTACAAGAAAACCAAGGCTACAAGGCGACGACAAAGAAAAATCCAAGAAATAAAGTGTTTTAAACCAAATGGAACAAATTCCAATTCCTAAATGCGAATTAGAAAATAACATTTCGATTGGCAGCCTAAAAGAAGGCCATGAAAAGCGCATTAGTGTGTGGGCGGGTGTGCGCCTGAGTGTGTGCTACAAAACCACAAACTACTGTGATGAAATTTCAATTATCGTCACTCAGCTGTGTGCCCCGTGTCGGTGTGAGTATCTGTGTGCGTCAGGGTGAGTATTTGTGTGTGTGCATGTATGGCACACCTGCTGCTGTCGCATTGCAAGCGAGCAAGTAAAAGCTCGTTAGTCCACCGCCCAAGCGCCCCACGCTCCTTTTTCTCCCCCAAGGACACCCACAACATTTGTTGCACACGCACACACATGGCCTGCGGCTACCCAGCCACACACACCGAGACACTCAAACACACACACACTTGAACAGGCAGACGGCAGCTTGCCTTAACTTTGCCTTTGTCTAGAATCTCGATGCTGTGCGCTTTTTTGCAACCCTTCAGCCAACAACAATGATGATGATGATGGTGGCATTTGCTACCTGAGTGATTTCCTAAAGCACAGCTCTATCCTCCCCCTCCTCTATCGTCCCCACTTCCTTTTCCGGTTCTGGCGAGTGAGATTCACATGCACATTCAAATGGCTGCACGTCCAGCTTGCATGTGCTACCATTTCCATTCCCATTCCCATATCACATCCCCCGGGGACTCCCGGTCACAATCCCCTTATGCAACCACTCGATTACCCCTTTGTGCCGGGCTAGCCTTTCGTTAGCTTCTATTTAACATGCAGTTATCGTTTGTTATCGCCAGCAGCCACAAGCCAAACTCCCACAGAAAGCAGCTTGTCAACAGGGAAACAATGTGAAGAGGGATGACAGTCCTGGGCGAAACTCGGATGCCCTGCAAATCCTTTAATTAGATATATTCCAGTAAAGCTGAGTCTTCAGATTTAGTGTCTGGCTGCTGGAAGATACGATGTCGTTGTAAAAGGATTTTTAAAAATAAATCCTTAAATCAATGAATAGCAAGTGTACTCTAGGGGTTTCTTTAAATTCTAGAAAACTAGGGTTCTTTGCCTGATATTATTCTTAAATATTAAAATGGGGTATAGTTCTCAGACATTTATTTACTTATCGTAGCATTCATTTATATATCATTTTAAGAGGTTTAAAAACTCTAGAGAGATTTTTATAATCAGTGATTTGAGAACATTTAATAATGTGTCTAAAAGTATGCAACAGTGTATTAAGTTAAACGTATAAAATTGCATTTAAGAATTTGGGGTTCCAAATAAAAGTTGTTTATTTCTCTTGGAATTACCCTAACATTCTAAGTTACCAAATTCCATTCCGCCAAATGGAGTAATGTACATTCCTCACCCCCACTGAGGCCAGATTCCCCCCTGGTATTGTTTCCCAGCTCCAATCGATGCCAATGCATTAACATTAAAACTTGGGCGCTGAAATTTTAATTAAAATGTGACAGGCAACTAGCGCACAATGAGCCCGCTCGCCGGATATCTTGGCCTGGTCTGGTTCTGCTTCTGCTTCTGGCCCTCTTGTGTGTGCGTCTGGCATAAAAATATTCAGCATAAGTGGCGGCCACCCAGCGATGCTCGACATTACAGAGCTGCCGAGCTGCCGGGCTGGCAGCAATTGTGCCATTTCAATCGACATCTGTTACTGATTTCAAAGAAACTTTTGTTGACAACACAAACAAATGCCAAATCCAGGGGCGAGGGGTGGCAAGGGGCAAGGATGCCGTCGCCTGGGGGTTTAAGGTACAAACCGTTTGACGCTTGCCTGCGCACGACTTCGACCCTCCCACCCAACCAACCAACCACCACCTCCTTTTGGCCCTGAACCAGACCCAGAACTCACGTGTGGCCCAAAGTGCCGCACAGCTGACGTTAACGTTATCAGCGAGCGGCTGTGCCGGTGAAATTGTGTGGGTCTGTTGTTATACCCTATCGTATCGTAGAAAACGAGGGCATGCCAGATACTGTGGAATTAATGCAGCAGGAAGGGAGGAAGAATAAACCTGTAAAATTTAAATTTAAATTTAAATGTAATAAAGCGAAGAAGAAAAAGGCATTGCATATTTTTAGGCGCATTAAAAGTATATTTAAAATCGTCAAAAATGTTTCATTTCCAAACTTAATTAATAATAATTTATTTAAATGATATTCAAACACGGAGTACAGGATATCTCGCAGTTGAAACATTCTACTTATTTTCTGCTTATGTATGTGTGTAGCCTGCTCCTGGGCCTCGTCTGTGGGTGTGTGTGTGTGTTTTTGTTTTCGCCGGCTACAAACAAAGTTGACTGAGGCTGCCAGTTTGCGTGTCTGCGAGCCTGCATTTGAAGGCTGTGCAGCAAAGGCATCTGACATGAAGGCAGGAAGCTCTGGTGGGTGGGAGCGAGCGGGATAGGGAATATATTTGTATGTATGGACTCTGTGTGTTTTCGGCGGCGCCATTGTCGATAATAACGATGGACTGAGCCCCGGGTCGCAGGCGCTTTTGTGCGCGTAACATGTGTCAATTACAGGCGCCCACACCCACACAATCACACATTCGCCCACACACACATTGAGAACAGCAGGAACAGCCGGCACAACCAACTCCCACCCACCCACTCACACACACACACATGCATATGCGCTCACTTAGTTTTGCTCTCACACCGTCGATAACTCAAAAAGCTGCCAAAAGTGTGCGCACATTTTTTATATGCGCCGCCCGAAAGTATGCACATATTTTTTATATTTGTGCTGCCGGCATTTGACAGCTAAGTCGACGTCGACGCCAGCAGCGCTGGCCTATGTTAATTTATTTTCACACAGCCATTCGCTTTTCTTTCTGTTTTTGTTTTGCCTGAGTAAAGAGGAGGGGGTGGAAAATTACTTTTTTGTTGGAAAATAAAAAAATGGTTAATTAAAAAATTTGAAATCACTGTAACAGGTGGGAAAGGCCAACTGCCAAGTGAAATACCAGAACTTTGACTTTGCCAAGTGATTGGCGGGTATTTTAAATTTCTACTTTTTCGAAGCCGACTTTTTGTTCAGTTTATGCAACGATGCAAATCTCTTTTGTTTGATTAAAAATAATTAAGTTTATTACAATTTTTTTCCTTTATAAAGGGGTTTGAAAAATTTATGTTTCTATACATGGCTATTAGGTAACGTAATTTTTGGAGGAAAATTAAGTCTAAGGATTTAGAAAAAATAAATAAATGCCCGACTGCTTTAACTAGTTTATAACTATTATAATGTAACAGAGCTCTGTAAACTCAACAGCTTTGAACATCTCCGATCATGGTTTTCTGTAAAGAGTTTCGGAGGCTGTTTGTACGCTCAATATCTCTCTCAGACTCTTTTGTTTAAATATTATTTTCATTATTATATACTCTCTTCTACTCGCCAACTTTCAGTGCTCTTCTGGGTATAAAAACCCGCTGCCGGTCGTAGCGGCATTTCAGTTACTTCAGCGATTCGACGTCGGGTTCGGGTGTGCAGATCATTCGTGCTATATATCTACGTATTCTTGTTTTCCGTGCAAATAAAAAACAACCGTTTGTGATCGTGCGACTAAAAAGTATGTCACTTGGGGGCGCTGCACTTGGGGGACATTGAAAAGTGAATTACATTGATCATGGCATATGGCATGGGGTCGGGTCTGAAAACTGTCTAGTAAATGGAAAAGAGTCATGCAAATCGTTAGTGAGCCCCATGGTCAACCGACGAAAACCAGTGCCAAGAACCAAGAACTGCGTGTGCGCAGAAGCGATTATAAAAACTCTGTGCCCGGCATACGAAATAAGTCAAGGTCCCCTGAATAGACGCCAGAACATAACTCAAACATAGGCTGGCCGACCAAAACCCATCCCGACTTATAGAGATAGCGCCCGTACCCAAGTTGGCATAATCGCCCAGTAGCAATGAACTTTGAAGCCGGCGCGTCACTTGATAGCTTTCTTAACCCCCGGTGGCTACGATTACATGCAGTGCAAGTGTGTCGTAATTACCCCTTGGGTTAATCGTAACTGCATTATTGCCAAGTGTTCTCACCACCTTTCCATTGTTTGGCGCCTTTCGCGATAAGAAGGCAAAACAAAGAGACCCAGACGCTGTGATATCAGCTGTTCTGTTCGATTTTGTTCTTCGCAACAGGGCAGGTTCAATGGCAAGCGCAGTTTTTATGGACTGATATAGAGTCTGGGGGACCCACTTAGCCGATTTTTACAATTGGGGAGATTACTGCCAAGTGCTCACCTACTGATCCACAAAAATTTCCATGCTCAATGGGTTAAAAGATCAGCCCTCCAGTTAGGATTGTACCGCTATAAAAAAGGCATTACCTTAGGTCGTAAATGTTAGGTGGCACTTTAATGAAATAATTAGACAGTCTCCCATGTAAAGCCCAATAAACTTGCTGAAAATAATGTAAAAATAATTACTTTTTTACCCTTTCATGAGAACAGGGGCCTAATAAACATGCTAAAAATATGGTGAACGTAATTACTTTTTCACTCATTCAAAAACTTAATTTAAATTGTGTGAAAAGTAGAGTCTAAAATTTGTTTACCAATAAGAAATCATTGTTCTTTATTCTTAATTTTTATTTAGTAGACAAAGAGCGTATTGTTATGTATCAAAGTGCAATATTGATAACAATTAAAGCTTACAGCTGTTTTGCTATACGAGTTATTTAAATAAAATTCCCTCTCTGAATTTTGGTTGCTCTACTTGGGTCTGAATAAATGCTTTTGGTGCATAACTGGGACTTTAGCAGCCGTTCCAACTTGAGACCCCTAAGCACCTGTCACTCCCCCACAACTGCCCCCCTTTTTTTAAACCCCACGTATTGCTCATGGCGGCCGATAAGAACTTGCGACCCACAAACTATATAGTAAATCGGTATCAGACAACGCTTTATGCCGCTTATCACTCAGTTGTTCGCCGTCGGTTGCCCTAGGCACATGTGAAATTGGAATAGGAATTGGAAGGGTTGCACCCACAAATTGCTAAATTAGACCTTGCTGTAGCTGTCATAAAAATCACAACCATCCGTTTGAGTGACTAACTAAACTAATTCAACCATGTTTGCTGTTTGCCCTTCCAAGTGAGCGGAAGCAAGGAGCGCGACGATCTGGAGGATCAGGAGGAGGATCAGGCGGGCAAGAAGATGGAGATCCTGCTGGAGCTGAACCTCAAGCAGAAATTGGCCACCCGGCTGGGAACGCTTCTGCTGGCCACGCTGATCTTTGCCAGCTTTTGCTGGGACAATGCGGTGGCCAGTTTGACCCTGGGAGCAGTTGTAGCCCTCCTGCTGCGGAATCCCACCTTTGTCTTTGGCCTGGTGATGACCACCACAAGGGACTTGAAGTGGGTATATATTAATCCTTAATAAAGATACAAACTTACTAACCTGGCTTCCCTTTTGCAGGGCCCTCCAGCGCTTTGTGGCCCTCAATATCTACCTGCTGAGAAGGGATCGCAGGGGATTCACCGTGGCCCGATGTTTCCAGGAACAGGCCAGATCTCGGCCCAAGAAAGCCTGCTTTGTGATGGACGATCGCAGTCTAAGTTTTGCCGAAGCCCTGGAAGTCAGCCAAAGAATCGCTGGTTACTTCAAGGATCGTGGCCTCGAAAAGGGCGATTGTGTGGCCCTGCTGATGGAGACCCGTCTGGAGTATCCCTGCATTTGGTTGGGTCTCTCTCAGCTGGGAGTGATCACCGCCCTGATAAACTCCAATTTAAAAGGAGATTCTCTGCTGCACTCCATCAAAGTGGCCAATGCCAAGGCCTTGATTGTGGGCAGTGAACTGCTGGATGTGCTTAAGTCACTAGGAGAACAGGAAGCTCTACAAGATTTGCCCATCTATCAGTACACCGATGACGAGCTAAGGAAGGTTCCCGGACATGATCTTGTCCCGGGAGCTGTGGATCTAGCCAGTGCCTTGAAGACTCAGAAGAAACTGGAGCTATCAGCTAAAGCCTCGCCCGAGGAAGCTCGCTCCAAGTTGCTCTATGTCTACACCTCTGGAACTACGGGTCTGCCGAAAGCTGCTGTGATCACCAACCTGCGGTTCCTCTTCATGTCCGCCGGGTCCTTCTATATGCTCAGGATGTTCAGCGACGATGTGGTCTACAATCCCCTACCCCTTTATCATACCGCTGGCGGAATTGTGGGAGTGGGCAATGCCATACTCAACGGATCCACGGTGGTGCTGCGGAAGAAGTTTTCGGCCAGGAATTTCTGGCTGGATTGCCAACGCCATAACTGCACTGCAGCCCAATATATCGGGGAATTGTGTCGCTATCTTTTGGCCACTCCTTATAGCCCCGATCAGCAAAAGCACAACCTACGTCTGATGTACGGAAATGGTCTGAGGCCGCAGATCTGGTCGCAGTTTGTCCGTCGGTTCGGCATTCCGCATATTGGAGAGATCTACGGGGCCACCGAGGGAAACTCGAATCTGATCAACATCTCCAACCGAGTGGGAGCCATTGGCTTTGTGCCAGTCTACGGATCCCGCCTCTATCCCGTCCAAGTGCTGCGATGCGATGAGCAGACGGGTGAGCTGCTCAAGGACTCGCAGGGCCACTGCATCAGGTGTCAGCCTGGTCAGGCGGGTCTCCTGGTGGGCAAAGTAGATGCCCGGCGGGCGGTGAGTGCCTTCCATGGATACGCGGATAAGGGAGCCTCGGAGCAAAAGCTCCTGCGAAATGTCTTCACCACCGGCGACGTCTTTTTCAACTCGGGTGACATGGTGGTGAGGGATATTTTGGGATACTTTTATTTCAAGGATCGCACCGGAGACACCTTCCGCTGGCGGGGCGAGAATGTGGCCACCCAGGAGGTGGAGGCTATCATCACGAACTGTATTGGTCTCGAGGATTGCGTGGTATATGGGGTACAGGTGAGTTTTTTACGTATAATTTAGAATTTTTCTCAAAGTGGTAGTCATAAATAAATGAAAAGTTATCTGCCTTAATTCCTGGATCTAACATTAAAGTACAAACCTTCTTTACGATGCCCACTTGAGAAAGATGTCAAATTAAGAAGATAGAAAGAAATTCGTTTTTAATTACTATTAAATTACCAATAGTTTAGTTTTTTCTTCAAGTGTGACTAAGGGAACTACCCATGTCGCACTGAGTCACCTTTTCAAAGTATTGATAGATATAGTATAGATAAGGAAACACCTAAAACATACCTTGATTTTCACTATCGCCCTGCTTATCTTTGCAGATTCCCCATGTGGAGGGCAAGGCGGGCATGGCGGCGATTGTGGATCCCGATCGCAAGGTGGACATGGATTACCTATCCATTGTTTTGAGGGGCAGTCTACCGCCCTACGCCCGACCCCTGTTCATCCGACTGCTGGACGAGATTCCGCGCACTGCCACCTTCAAGCTGAAGAAACGGGAGTTGGCCCAGGAGGGTTACGACATCAGAGCCCTAAGTGATCCCATATACTATCTTAATCGGGATGGGATCTACAGAACTCTCAGCCAGGAGCAGTACGAGTCCTTGCGAACGGGAAAGGCGGGACTATAACACTCCCAATAACGATTCCAGCCACCTTTTTGTATATATACAGCTAAACGTTTGTCTGTCTGTCCCAATGTATTTTTTTAACGCTTAAACAACGACTGATACCGAAATACCAAAATACCGAAATACTTACCAGTGATGAAGTTCTTTTCTAGCTGTTAGCCCAAAAAGCCGGGCGCGCTTCTTGGCCATAAAATGGCAGCTTAACCGATAATGGGAGCCAATACGTTTTACGGCCAGAAGATGCGATGCTGCTACCGCCACAAGATATATCGAAAGTGTTAAATCCCCAAGATTAAGTTCTCGCTCATTGGCAGCTGCTGCAGTTGCTGTTGCTATTGCTATTGGTGTTGCTGTTGCTGTTGGTGGCGGAGAGCTGCTACTTTTGCAGTTGCTGCTGTTGCAACATTAACGCCATTTCCGCTCGCTAGCGGCAGCTGCGACTTCGTTGGCCGTCCCGTCGCCTAAGATAAACGATGTGCAAAATCCATACAAAACAATGGCAGGAACAACAAGGCAAGGTCTTGCAACCGCAGCAGCGCAACATCGCTGCATCGCAACATCGTCGACGGCCACCAATATCGATGTCGATGGCGAAAAAGTTGTGGCAGGCAATCATAAAAAACGAAGAAATGGCAAACAAAGCTGAGAGCCATTTTTAAAGGAGCTCAAATTGGCGATGGTGTTGCTTCTGGGATGCCAAAGGTTTCTCGATGGTTAGAAGTTGCAGCAGGTGAAGGTAGGTCTCCTTAGAATCTTAATTGGAAATTCAATGTCCCAGGTATTTACAATAATCTTGTACAATAAATATGTTTTTTTTCTGATAAATATTGCAATTAAAATATTTTTTTGTAGTACATTACCTTTTCCAGGAATTTTAAACAGCTATAGAGGAAGACCCAGGATTTCCCAGGATCTTAGTGAAGATTCGATTGTTGGAATTCGTTATTTTCTTTGATTTCCTGTGACTTAATTTGTTTTCGAATATTTTCGGAAAATGAAATTCAGTTTTCCAAGGATCATGTAATGTATACAATGTAAATGGTGTATCACGAAAATGCTCATAAAGTTGCAGCTGTAGCAGCTGCCAAACTCCCTGGACCCCTGACACGCCCCCTGCCCCTGCCCACCTCCGTCTCCGCCTTTTTCGCGACGCCATCGTCGATGTCATAAACAAAATGGCAGTTGTGGGTGCAGAAGTGCATGAATACGTTCGCATAGCTAATAACAATAAAAGCAACAACAAAAACAGGCATTGCAGCTGACACCAACAGGCAACATCAGTGTTGTTGTTGCTGTTGTAGGTGTTGGTGTTGCTGCTGTTGATGTTGCTAGTTGCTCCTGTTTGTTGTAATTGTAGCTTCGCGTGCGCCTGGCCTGCGTAAGTGGGAAAATTAAAAATTTCTCAATAATTTTTCGAAATGTTCGACAAGAACGTCGGGCGCTGCTGCCATTGTTTCCTGCTTCCCGTTTCCCGTTCGTCCTGCTCCTTTTGGGGCTCATTTAGAAAGCTTTCGGGGTGGACAGCAAGGCGGTGGGTGGTGGTGGGTGGTTGGCATTGGATGCCAGTGGGTGGCTCAGGCCGAAGCTCGGCGACGGCGCCACAGCTGCCATTGGAATTCCAAAGCTATTAAAACGCTGCCAGTGGAGCTACGACCAAACGGGCACCAGTGTTGCCTTTCCTTCCGCTGCCTTTGCTGCTGTTTTACCCTTTGCCGAAATGGGGTATTCCAAATTGATTGCTCGACCTAATCTAGGATTTGAGTAGGCTGTTTCATGGGCTCGCTTCGGGGGAAGTAGGCTCACATGGTAAGTGCTATATAGTATTTTTTGTATAGCCCACTTCTAGGCTGTCGCTAAAACTCTAACTTTAGTTAAACTTTAGTTAAAGGTCTTGTGAAATATTTAATTTAATTTTGTAAAGGTATAATAATATCACAGATTTTATTCTCCCACATACCTTGGAAAAAGAAAGTATCCAGAAATATTAGAATTCTTTGGATTTTAGAAAATGTTTTTATAATCTTCCTTTGTGTAGCTTTCAAGAATATAGATTTTAAGAAAAATAGACTGGGTGTGTTTTATATGATTACTTTTTTAAACCTATTTTATATTATTGAAATATATATTATAATATTTAAATATGTAGTCGATAGATTGGTTATTTTATTCTATAAATTTCATTTTAATTTAAGGATTTCACTATACCCATAGAGTACCAGAATATTCGCCGTGGCTCCACATCCCTTTTGTCCTTTCTCTGCCACTTGGTGTGGCTGCTTTTGTTGTTGCCGCTGCTGGCTGAATTGGTTTGGATCGCTCCGCTTTTGCTTGTATGCATTTGGGCTTAAAGGTTTTGCTTGCTTTTGTTTTTATGTTTCATACTGCCACTGTGGGCCACCCACTTCCACCCCCCCCGTTTCCCAACCCCTTGGTCCTTGGCGAGCTTTGTCAGTTGGTGCTAATTACATTGCACCTGTGCATGACGTTTGATGTTGGCCTGTCGAGCTTCGACTGTCGCTTGTGTTTGTTGTTTGGCTGTTGGTCGGAATGGAAGAGTGTATGTGTGTGCTAGCTTAGTTTGTTTGGCTTTGGCCTTTTGGGGCGCTGACTGAGCTGCAGTAGCAGCAGCAGCAGCAGAAGGCAGCAAAAATTAATTAAAAGCCAACGTGCGGCGGCAATGCAATTAAATTCGATTTGGTGGACTCAAACTGTTGGCTCGAACTCAGCTGGACGGCTGTTGTTGACATCATTTAATACAACAATGCGGCAGAATTATATTTCACATACATATCGTACATACCTATATATCCTACACATATCCTGCCGTCAAAGGTTCACACACAATACCCTTTTGTTTAGCCTGTTTTTTGTTTATTTTTACTGGGAATTTCGCCTGGCTTCAGCTGTTGGCTGATCTGCCTATTTGGTTTATGCCACATATCGCCCACCACACACATACACACATTTTCTCTCTGTGCATTTGTGAGCCCCTTTGATTCGTGGCACCTTTTGGATTTGACAGTTTTGTAATTAACTGCAGTCGGCTGCCTCAATATGCTGCATACTTTCGGGACGCCTCGCATTGGCATTTTGTAACGCAATTACTTTAGCCGGATTTCCGAAAACTTTTCCCTATTCATTTCAACCTGGTATTGATGTTGGATTGTTGGATTTACGGGTGCTGTCGGAACTGGAAACTTTTCGCTCGAATCAAGTTGATAGGGAATACGTGACAGCCTGCAGTGGACCACCGAAAGGAGCCGGAGACCACAGGACACACGTGTGTGAGCTGCTTTCTCTGGGGTTCTGGGGTTTTAGCCATTCCCGCTGCCATTTCACTTTGAAGGCTCACCAGCTGGCCCGGGCTGCTGTTGTTTTTTATGGGGCCACCGCCTTTATGCGCCCGCATATTAAACAATTATTGCCAAATGGCAAGCGACAGCTGCGTTGTGTCGCCGATGTCGTTAGTTGGTGGGAATGGCGAGTGGTGCATGGTGAGTGGTGTATTGGTGGGATATCCTGGCATATCCTGGCCTCCTCTCCGGACGCCGGACGAATAGCAGGAGGCCTATGTTCTCCTGTTTTATTTTTTTTACCATTCACCATTTTACCAAAGCAGGACATGGCCATCCTCATCCTCTCCTCCTGCAACGTGGCTTACTGGGCGAAAGCTTTTGCGCTTTTTTTTCGCGTTTCAGCGTCTGCTGCAATTTATGTGTATAAATGACAAAAGTACCGTTATTTATGGCCAGCAACCGCAACGCAATTTGGCAACACTTGTTGGCCAATTGGCAAAAATGTGAAGGCGGGAACTCAGCTGAGCTAAATCATCGCACTGAGCGGAGAGTTCGGTGGAAATGTTCCCTGTTCCCGATTCCCCCGGGCAATATAATGTTTATATGTAGGCGAAAAGAAACATCTACATATCCTTGCAATCACACACATTACCGAACAGGAGAAAGCAGGAGGGTATAAGGATTATTATCTCCTTGGTGATGGATTTTGTTGTCCCCTACAGAATAGTGATCGAATTAGATGAATTAAAAGATTCAAAGTAAAATATTAAATCTTTTTAATTTTTCAGAATCTAAAAATTTATTTATTTTTTAATTTATTTATTTTTATTTTTTTATTTTTTATATTTTATATATTTTATTTTTCTAGTACTTTTTATGTTTTTCAAATAAGACATAATAATATAAACAATATTGGTTAAAAAGTAAACAATAATATTACCGCATTTTTTAAACTAATATTTAACTTTATTTCACTTTAACTATAACTAACGATTAATAATAACTAACTAAATAATCATACTACTCCCTAGTTACAGGGTATTTATTTAAGAGCAGACTCGCAACGAACAACGAACATTTTTGTGCGCTCTGTGCAAAATTTGAATTTTTATTGCTGATCGAAGCCTGCAGCACATTATATGACAGAGCCTCCCACTTCTGAGCCTCCCAAATTATGCGTATTAAGGCCGTTTTTTTTGGGGGGATTGGGTGGATGGGCTGATAGCCTGATGGGCGGTGGATCCGAGTTGCTTGATAGCTTGTTGCTGACATAAATTTGTCGCCGCTGCTGCTTCATCTGCCGCCTGCCTCTGTCTGTGTGTAAATGTGCCAAATGCGCTGGAAGCCCTCGCTCTTCCCAATATACCTCCGATATTGACTTGACCCTTCTGTTTTCTTGTCGCGCCTTTTATTATGCTAATATTTTTAGGGCATTGCCAAGATTTATTGAAATTGCTGCGGCTGCTCGTCCATAAACGCAGGGCACACAAATATATTGTATATACGTAGCACATTCCCGAGATTGGCTATTGGCGATGGAAAGGTGCAAGGTGGAATTTCCTTCGGCAATTTGAGCCAGCGGCCACATGGCGTATGCGCGATTTTAGATTGGTTCGGGAACCATAGTCATGGGCATGGGGACAACAATTAAATTGTCATTTCGTCGGTGCAAAACGCTTGTTGCTGCTTGTCTCGCCTCGTGTTGCATAATTGGCAACGTTTTTGCAATTAAAACAACTAATTGGCAGCAAAAACTATTGGCCAGCAGGAGTAGCAGATGTTAGCTGGTCGTTTCTGCGAAGGGAAAAGCGGTGAGCCCGTAAAAAAGTATGC